TCATGTTACTTTTTTGGGGGGGTGGTACTGGAATTGAACCCAGGGCTTTCACACTGAGCTATAGCTCCATGCCACTCCCTTTTCTTTTTGAGACAGGTTCTCACTGTATAGCTCAGGCTAGCCTCAAACCCTAGGCAATCCTGCCTCAGCAGGAGTGCTGGTAATCACAGGACTGTGCCACCCTGCCCTGCTCATATGCTAACTTCTTAGTCCTTAGTACCTTATACTGTGACCTTATTTGGAAAGAAAGATCATTGCAGATGTAAGTGATTGAGGTTATATGTAAGGTGGGCCTGTAATCTGATGTGACAGGTATCCTTATATACAGGAGAAAGTTGGGCATGGACCTGCATATAAGGAGTTGGAGTCCTTTGTCCACAAGCTAAAGAACTACCAGAAGCTAAGATAGAGCCCTGGGATAGATCCCTGCTCAGCATCTTCAGAGGGGACGTGGCCCTCCTGACACCTTGATCTTGGGCTTCTGGCTTCCAGGACCTTCAGACAATTAAATTTCTGTGATTTAAGCCACCCAGTCTGTGTTGCTTTGTCACGGTGCCCCAGCAAACTAATCGGGTCCCTTACATAAATAACAGGGTGTTGTATAGCATGCAGGGTTAGGGACCCTTCATCTGAGGATCACAAAGCCAAGCCATAGCTTTGGGTAGGAATCAGGTCTTCCCTAAATTACGAAGAGTCCTGAAGTGTGAAGACACCATGGTAGCTAGGCGGACCAGCTGGGCAGCTGTCCAGAGCATCAGTGGATTAGAGGGTCCAAAATACCACTGCAATAAATAGAAATACCCCTGCCAGTTGACGCAAGTTTCCACACACTCCTACCAAAGTAAACAGAGGCCGTATATGGAAACTTAAAAAACACCCTTGGCTGGCACTGATCCTTCTCTTTGGGTATTTTTGTAGTACACACATACAGCTGCTATCAGCTCCAACTTTTTTGTTTTTGCAGTGGTGGAGACTGAATTCAGGGCCTTCACCCTGAGCTATATCAACAGCCTTTTTAAAATTCTTTTATTTTGAGACAGTGTTTTGCTAAGTCACTAAGTTGCCCAGGCTGGGCTCAAACTTTCAATCCTCCTGCCTCAGCCTCCCAGCGAAATGTTTTAATTAATAAGTTTGCCAAAATCTGTTCCTTACCCCACAGTATCCTTTCTCTCCTTTTTCTGTTCTAAGAGACTTAGCGATTTGAGCTTGGCACAAGGCTACCCCTTTGAGGACTACATTTATGATTTCACACGGGTAGGAGTAATGGCTTCTACTCAGCGCTTTCTCTCTCTCTTTCTCCCTCCCTCTCTCTCTCTCTGGACAGTCACTCTTAGAACTCAGCTGCCAGGTTGTGAGAAAGCCACGCAGCCACTCGGAGAGGTTGCCTGTGGGCATTCTGATGGACAATTCTGGCTAACTTCTCGGCCAACAGCCAGCACCAATACCAGACATGGGAGTAAGCAGGTCTTCAAAGAGTCCAGCCCAGCTTCCAGCCACCCCAGCTACGCCAAACGGAACAGAGGAGACCTGTCTGTCCAAATTGTACACTCATGAGCAAAAGTAATGTTCTCATCATTTCAAGTCACTGTGTTCCAGAATGGTTGTTATAGAGAGAGATCACTGCGACAGCTGCCTGCCCTGCCCACATCCTGCATGGTAGTGTATGTAGGTCCTCAGCTGCCACAGAGGCTTCTAGAAATTCCAACCTCATTCCAGTGGGTTCCTGAGATGAAGGCAGGGGTCCTGGGCCACACCTAAGCTGAAGGGCTAATGGGGATGCAGGTTGGTGGTGTCCAGTGTCCAAAGGGGGAGAGGTCAAGGCAGAGGGACCAGAAGGAACCATCTCATTCCCCACTCCCTCCAGCAGGCAGTCCTAAACAGAGAGCATGTGCATGCCTTGTGCATATCCACATACACGAAGATGGCCCTTAGGCCAGAGTTCCAACCCACAGGTCCACCTGCAGCACAACTCACTCCCCACTTTGCCACCTAAAGATTCTGACAGCACCCGATTTGTGCCATGAAGGTCGGCAGCATTATCTGGGTGGACCTTGACATTTCCAGGAGGATTTCTCAAAATGAAGCCTGAGGCCCAGCAGCATTAACAGAGCGATGAGACACTTCCCAAGAGACCTAACTTGTGGGAGAATTTCTGAGGCTCTCTAATAAGAACCAAAGATCTCTCCCTGCTGGAACTCAATTGTGGGCCTTAAACTTTGGATGCTGAAGCCCAAAGCCCTGCGTCTTTCTTTGGAGTTAGGGCCTTTGAGGAGGTTAAGGTTAAATGAAGTCATGAGGATGGGTGCCTTATCCGGTAGGATAGGTGTTCTTTTAATAAGAGGCACCAGACAGCTCACATGCAGGGGAGGTGGCTGTCTACAAGCCAAGGAGAGGGCCCTCACCAGAAAGAAAGTGAGCCCGCCAGCACCTTGATCTTGGACTTGCAGCCTCCAGATCTGTGAGAAATAAATGTCTGTCATTTCAATCCCCCTGGTTTGTGAGTTACAGCAGCCAGAACTAAGACACTCGCTGAAAGAAATGAGGAAGGGAGCCCAGGCCACAGTCACTGTGGCACAGTCAGTGGTATAGGAAAGCACTTTGTCCTCTGACCGCCGCAGTAGCACGTTTGTGGGAAAGTCCTGTCCTCACACTTCACTCATGGTTCAAGTGTTGTCTTCTCCCTGCAGCCCTGAGGTCCCAGAAGGTCACCACTCCTCCGGATGCGTGTTTACCTATCAGGCAGTAGGAGCCAGGCATCTGGGAGGAGCCTCTGGCCAGGCCGAGGGGATGCAGCAGGTGAAGGGCAGGGGCAGACGAGCCCCGCACCTGTGTGCTGAGGCCACGCTGGCAGCCCACACACCTCCATTCCTGCACTAGGTTGGCGTACTGGTGGCTGCTGCCCTGCAGCTCCCAACATCTGTAGCCTTCTCTCTGGCTCACCTCTCTCCACCCACAAATCTTTAAGGTGAAAAAAAAGGAGAGATGGACGGAAAGAAGACGGAAGCTAGCACTTTGGGCTCACCCCAGCTCATTGGGCCTTGCGATTGTTTCCTCTATCTCCACCTTAAGAATGTCATGCAGAAAACCCCTAGCTACTCTGTTGCCATCTGCCCTATCTGAGCACAAGCCCAGCAGAGCTGCGCTGAAGCTAGCAGAGACAAGTTGGCAGAAATCCAGCCCTTCCGGGTTAGGACCCCAGCTTGCACAGAGTCCCCGAGCAAGCCTTCATCTTGCATTCATTCAGCAAACTCTCCATCAGTATTCATTCCACAACTGTGGGTCAGGCCCACTCGTAGGCACCACACTGAGCAAGGTATAAGGAGTCCCTGTTTTCTTCTTCTCGGAAGGAGAGCCAGGAAGCAAACAAATAAGCAAGAAGCAGATGGCTGTGAGCACCATGCCAAGAACCAAGGCAGGGTGCTATGGCTCAGCAACTCGAGAGTTCCTTCAGGTGACCGGTCAGCTGAGATGTGAGGACCCAGAGAAGCCAAGCATGCGATTATTGGCTGGAAGAGCACTGCAGACAGATAGTACACAAGGCCTGCAGCAGAAATGAGCTCGGTGAGTTCTAGAAAGAGCAGGAAGGCAAATGTGCCTGGAGTTCCCCAGGAGAGTAATAAGACTGCCAGCCACCAGATCACCTGGGGCTGGGCACATCAAGGAATTGGGATCTTTGCCTGAGGTCAGGAGAGGGAGCCTACTCAGAGGTCTCTGCCCATACGATAAATATTAATTACGAAAGGACAAAACAGTGAAGAGAGCTGAAGACACTGCCTTAACCAGGCCGCCAACGTGAACATCACCCATAATGACACAAAGGAACGTGTGTACCTCGTGCTATCATGCACAGAGGTCACCCTGGCTCAAGCAGTGTTTCTGCCCAGCATGCAGAATCTGAAGTAAGTCACCAGAAACATCAGGCAAAGTCAAACTACGGGACTGTCCACAAAACAACTAGTGTCAAGAGCCAGGGCCGGAGGAGTAGAGCTCAGTGGGAGAGCGCTTGCCTAGTATGCACAGGTTACGGGTTCCATCCCCAGCACCTCAAAAAGAAACGTTGACGTGGGAGGAATCTGAATAAAAAAAGATATAGGCAGTCTTGGTACTATTTTTGCAACTTTTCAAATCTGAAATTATTTCAACGTCAAAGTTTTACGAATGAGAACAGTGAAGTCCCCTCCGGCCTCTGGATACGGGGTAATATTAGGGGAAGGAGAAGCAGGCCTAGGGACAATCTAGGACACCCTGGTAGGAACAAGAGCCTCAGCTTTCAGAGGACAGAGAAACCAGGACCCAACAGGCTCTCCATCTCTAGAAAGCCAACTGGGGCCCTGCGGTTTGGCTCACAAGGGGCTCAGACGCTGCCCACCACTGGCTCCACAACCTTCCTTTGCAGCCACACTGAAAGCAATTGGATGACGACTTCAGGGAAGCCGGAGCCTTGTGGCCGGCTCTCTGCTCCTGGAGGCTGAGCGGGGAAGGGGACTGGCTACGGCCGCCGCAGCCACGTGGCCTGCATCTCCAAGCGCTTGCCGGCCTCAGACCCCCAGGAAATAAGTCTCCCCAAGCCCCAGCAGACCTTTGCCAAAAAAAGAGCTTTTTGACCCTGGCAGGGGCAGCGAGGCTCTGTTCAGAAAGCATAAAGCGGCTGGCTTTCTCCAGGGGGCTGCCCCTCCTCAGCCTGGTGTGGGGACGCGTGGCGCAGCCAGCGAGGCTGTCTAAACAAGCAGGGGCTGAGCCGCACACCAGGCGCCACACTCATTAAACAGGGGGCCAGCCACCGGGCTAATCTGACAGGCCGCCTCTAGACGCCTGGGGGCTGCAGGTGGACTGGGCGCCTCAGGCGTGCGCGTCTCGGCGAGGCCGGGTGGTCCGAGGATCCAGAGCAACGTGCTGGCAGCTGCCGGCCACGGAAGAGCCTCGGCCCCCGCCCTTCTCAGCTGTGCATGGAAACCAACGACGCTGGAAGGACACAGGGAGGTTTACACAGCCCGCAAGACTGCCCTAGGAAAAGGGACTCCGCCGGAACTTCTCCAGCTCAGCAGTTCCCCATTGGACACCCACAGCCTGCCTCGCTGGATTAGAAGCAGCAGAAAAAGGAGGCCAAAATGTAGACGTGCTGATAGATGCCCATCAGCGGGCCCCCGGGAGGGCCTGATCTTTTATCCTTTCCAACTCTTTCCTGGAGACGCCCGCTGAGGCGCTGTGACTCAGACGCACCAGCATTCCGAACAGCCAGGGCAGCAGGTCTGCCTAGGGATGTTGGCCTGTGTGTCGGGCCTGGCATCTGGCCGGCTGGGAGGCTGGGAGGCTGGGAGGCTGGAGGTCTGCAGGCTCATAAAATGAAATTGCTTGTTCCTCTGCCAGACGAGCATACACCAGGTCGGGTGGGGAGAGAAGAAAAGCACTGCTGGTGCCCGGCACTCACACCCAATATCGTGTCCTCCTGCAGCTCAAAGGCTGGCAGAGACCTGCGGCAGCCGAGGCAGGGAAGGACTGTGCCTCTGACCCGCTGGCAGGTGACTCAGTTGCAGGTGAGGAAACTGGGGTCCCAGGGAAGGAATGGCTTGGCCTGAGGCTTCCACTGACAGCTGTCTCCCACTCTTCTACAGCAGAGCAGCCTCTGGGAAACTTGGGTGCATAAATTAAGGATGTTCCCCACCATCCGAGTTAGCATGGCCCCTCAGTCTTGATGCTTGTGCATTTTGCCCAGGCTTGGGCAAGCCTTCAATGTTTCTAGTTTTTAAGTATCTGTCTCTCCTTTTGACTTGAAATAGCCCAGCATCAAGCAGTGCTTCTCAAATTAGCCTTGGGTGTAGGACAAGTCTTGTGTGTGTGTGTGTGTGTGTGTGTGTGTGTGTGTGTGTGTGTGTTAATTAATTTCAGTCCATCACAGACACTTTGGTAAAGTACAACAGAAAATGATTTGCTTAAAAAAGTGAAATAAAAAAGAAACTATAATCCCAGCACTCTGGGAGGCTGAGACAGGAGGATCAAAAATTCCACTCAGCCTGGGCACCTTAGTGACTTAGTGAGACCTTGCTTTAAAATATAAAAATTTTAAAAGGACTAAAGATGTAGCTCAGTACCAGAAAAAAAGAAAAGAAAAAGCACAACATATAAAATGCAAGCCCAAACTTTGACTATTAGATTTAACAGATATACACATACTTTATCAGCTTGCTATAAAAGTTTTCAAACACCTGCTCCTAATTTCTCTACTTGGCTCCCTGAGGACAGGTGTCAGACTGTTTGTGGACCAGCACTAGCCCCTGGAGCGCACTTTGAGTAGCAGTGGTAAAAAGTCAGGATCAAAGCATGTGGGTTCTAGGGCTGGGAATGTGGCTCAGCGGTAGAGCACTTGCCTACTATGCAGAGGCCCTGGGTTGGACCCCTAGTATGGGGGTTCTTAGGCTGCCTTTGTGGTTAGCTGGCTGAGTGGGTTCCATCTCTGAATCACACTGCCTTCCCTTGCCATGGCAGACCCATAGGCCACTCACACTACAGTCGTGCAAAGGAAGGTGTTGGTACTTTACCCTGACTCTACCTGATCTGTCCTTTCCCAAGCAGAGCAGGACAGGGTGAGTGCTAACATTTTAGTTGTGCACAGTAGACTAAGTACAGAGTGCTTGTTTAAGTGGTCCCCACAGCCCATCTCTTCTCCATGCCGCTGGTGTTTGGGCGTAAAGGGGAGAAGAACAGAACTTATGCCAGTGCTTCTCGAACTTTAATATGCACACAGTGGGGGTGGGAGCTCGTTCAAATGCAGGTGCTGACTCGGTGAGTCTGGGATGTTGGTGGGGTCCCCAAGATTCTGCATTCTCACCAAGCTACCAGGGGATGCCCAGCCTGCTGGCTCTCAGACCACACGTTGAACTACAAGGGCTTATGGAGGTTTATGCAGCAAGAGGAATCAGGTTTCTGAACGCCCTTGCCACCCCCACCAGCGCTACCACAGGGCCACCTGGAAGCTTGTAGATCTCTGTGGTGGGGCGGATGGCACTGGCTGTCCCTGGAATGGTGATGGCTGAGGTGTGGACCTCACCGTCTGACTGAGGACTGCAGCTACAGAACTCTTGGCCTAATTCTGGTGCATATGTCTGAGCCCCGTCACTCCAGCCAGCTGCTCCTCCCCTCAGCTCTCACTGGTGCCTTGGAACCCACGAAGGGGCTGTGATGCACCCACCTGGACCCAGCCAGGGCCACCAGCTGTCAACATGGCTACCTTCCATCAATCCTCACACAGCAGCACCACGGAACTGCCAGGACCTATCGCCAGCCCCAAGGAGCAACTCTGCTTACCACTCTGGGCCACACACTGTTTTCTTGAATATGGAGCCCACCACATTCCTCCCAGACCTCCCAGTACAACCAGGGCCCAATACATGGCCACCGCAAGCGTGTTCCCCTCACTTTGGGAACATACTTCCCTCTGACCAGATCCCCAGATTAGAAAGTCAGAACTCTTTCAGATTGTTTCCCCCAGCTTCAGCTTCATGTCCCCACAGTCTTCACAGACCCTGTAGGAAGAGCCACTCTTGTTCCTCTTCCTGTTCGTCTTGATCCTCTGAGTAGGAACTAAAGGAGCATATGAAACCCTTTTCTGGCCGGACAGTGTTTCCTCCCTGTGGATTCAAACACAGTCTAATGCAACCAAAGCTAAGCCATGACTTCCTTGGTGAGCACTGACTAGCTGCTCTTCCCTGCTGCCCTGGGGTCCATTGGGAATCCACATGAAAATACTGCCCCAAGCCACACACTGTGCTGCACACCTGTAATCCCAGCACTCCGGGAGATTGACTCAGGGGAGAGCAAGTTCGAGCCTAGCCTGGGTAATTTAGTAACTTAGCAAGACCCTGTCCCAAATAAACATTTTTTTTTAAAGAAGGGCTGGGGATATAACTCAGTGTGAAGGCCCTGGGTTCCATGCCCAGTACCACAAAAAAGAAAGGGAGAAGAGCAGAGTGGAGAGGAGAGGAGAGCCCCAAATGATACCTTTTCCATGTGAAATGAAGGAGTCTCTCTGCCCCCGGGGATCTATGAAAGGACCATGCTCTTGGCACCTTGGAAATAGAGCACACTTCCTAGGGAGGTCAGAAGCTGAGATCTCAGATGACTCTGTCATCCCACAGATAATTAATGAGCAGCTAAAGGGGTGTCAGGCACCACTAGGAGACCAAGGGGCCAGGGAGCTGCCTCTCTGACATCACCAGCACCCCTTGCAAGGGATGTTCTGTTTGAGGAAGGCCTTGCTGCCCAGCTCCCAGCTCTCAGGGTCTTGGTGGGCTGCTGAGCTCCCTGACCTGGACCTGCTTCAGGAGCAGCCCACCCGCGATGACCGACGGCTGCAGGGGCATCGCCTGGGCAACTCAGCATCATGGCTGTGTGCACTCACTGGCCAGGCGGGGGCTGCCCCTCACCACGCAAACAGGTGCTGGTGGGGCTGCTGCACGGGACAATGCACGCAGATTATGGAGCTCAGGCTGCTGGCTGCTGCCTTGGTGACGTAGCTGGCCACCCTATGCTACGGGTGCTCTGCTCTAAGTTGGGGAAAAGAGACTATGGGCCACTGCAGCTCTCTGGGTCTGGGTGTCACCTCTGAAGGGTCTTTCCCAGTTCCAAGATGCAAATGGCTGGTCACTCACTGTGGAATAGAATCAGAGACAAAATAAGCTGTCCAGGGGGCCCACCATCCTAGGGTGCCCTCACAACCCTACTGAGGTCTACTCTATCACTTGCAAAGGGGCTCCACACCCACTCAGGGCACCCAAGGCTGTCTCAGGGGGGCAGTCCCTCTGAAGGAGCACTGAGAGTCAACTTGGCTCAGGAGGGAAGCAGAGCCCTTTCTCGAAGTGTTTTTTCTCCTACTTTGGCTGGAAAGAATCACAGCCGTTTGGGACTCAGAGGATGACCCAGGAACCACCTGAGGAAATGGCCTTTGGGAGCAAATGGAGGAGGTAGGGGTGGCCTACCCTCCCTGGCCTGAGGTTTGAGCCAGGGTACCCACTGTGGCTGGAGGGAGCTTTGGGCCCAGGCACACCCCAGAAAACAGCCGCAGTCCTCTAGTCAGCTGCCAGTGTTTGTTGTCACAGCTGCTACTCCAGCTCGGCTGTTCCTGTGAGCAAAGGAATCTGTTTGTCTGAGGAAAAGAATGTAGCAGAGGCGGGAGGCAGCTGGGCAGCCCAGGCAGCAGTCACAGAACTCCCCCAAACCAGCCAGCCACCCAGAGTCGTCACCCAAGGGCCGGGATGCCAAGGCCAGAGGCTCAGAGACGCCGTCCTAGCCTCCACCTACACCCTCCCAAAGGCTCCACTCCTCTGTGGCCCAGGGCTTTGCACTGAGTGCCGAGGGCAGGTGCCAGGCTGGCAGGCGGGACACTCAGAACGGAGGTCCACCCTTCCGCCTGAGGTATTTTATTTACTTCTCCCTTTCACAGACAGCCCTCCCCCTTCCACCACACACACAGTCTGAGGAGGAAGTCAGTCAGCTGTGTGTGTGAGGAAAGAGCACACAGGACTGGAAGCAAACAAGTCCGCACAGCCAGGCTGAGTGCCACGGGAGATGAAGAAAGCGGAGAGGTGTCGGGAGACACCCCAGCCCCAAGGCCAGCCCAGGGCCAGCCCAGCCAAAGGAGGCAGAGCTGGGCCCAGGGAGCGTGAAAGTCATCTGCCAAACTAGAGGTCCAGCCACAGTCCCCCAGGCCTAGCATCCATGTTCTGGAGCATTCTGAACATCCCAGCAGTAGCCCAGACAGAGCCAGTCCAAAGAACACCTTTGTTTGGGTGGTGTGACCATGGGGACATCTGGGATCTCAGGAGAAAGGCTCTGCCTCTCCAGGGATTCTTGGTACCCGTGCCTGCCCATACCCCCTTCGGCAGCCCTCTACAGTGACCAGGAAGTTGCTCTGCAGGCTGGGACAGGGGTGGAAGGTATACATAGCTTCTGGTACATTTTCTAGGTTACATCGAGCTTCCGTCCAGATTTGGTCTGGAAAATTCCCCACTGCTATTGCACTCTGGCTTGTATCGAAGCCCTCAGGTGGGGAGGGTAGAATATATAACCATCACCCCTCCCCCTGAATTGCCTCAGTCGGGATTAGTAATGTTGGCTTCACCATCTTCTCTTGTGTCAGCCTCTTCATATTCATCCACTGGGAAAGGTTCTAAGGATGAAGGACTTGGTCAAGTTCCTTCTGTAAGAGTGACCAAGTGAAGGCGTCTTAGGCTGGGCCCACCCAGAAGCAGCCCCAGAAATAAGGATTTGGGGCCAAAGGACTCACTGGAGAGGGGCCAGTGAGAAGGAAAGGAAAGCAACCAGTAAAGGAGGGGTTATTAAACAAGTCACCAGGGTAAGATGCTGGGGGGCAACCCCTTTGTGTTTCTGAGAGACCCCTTAAAAGACACTTCTGCGTTATCTCACTTGGGGAGTGGGAAAGCTGGGGTAAGTCCCATCTGTCATGGCCTCCATGCCCTCAGGTGGAGTTCTCATGTCCTCAGAGAATGTTCTGCATGGATGCGTGCCAAAGGAATTTGGGTGGGGGCACCAAGAACGTTGCTGCAGAAGTTGACCCTAGGCTGTCCTTTATGTGGCACCTGAGATGAATCTCCAAGGTCTTCCAGCTAGTCTATGGTGAGATCAGTCTGTCAGTAGTCATGGTGACAGAGAGAAGGGACACAAACAGCCTCTCCCCCGACGCACACACCCACACATGCTCTCATGCACAGGCGCACGCGCACACATGGGCACACAGCAGCTCGGGCCATTTGAATGGGGTTGGGCTTTTGTGTTGGCCTCCAAGTGGGGATTCCCTTGAGACCTGTGACCTGCACCAAGTGGGTAGGCAGGACTCTCAGAAGGCTCCACAGCTTGGAGGGAAGATCTAGATCCAACTCCCAAATTTACCCCTGTGCAACCCTGGTCAGGAAACAGGTTGCTGAATGCCCCAGTGCCTATAAAATAAGATATTAATCCTCTAAGGTTGTTCTAAAAGTTAGAAGTGACAGGGTGGCCTCCCTACCACAGTGTCCGGTCTACATTAGGGGTAGTTGGCCCTAATTTTTTATTGAGGTAAAGTTCACATAACATAAAATTCACTATTATCACCATATTAAAATGTACACGTCAGCGGCATTAAGTACATTTCCAATGTCGTGAAACCATCACCATCATCTAATTTCAGAACATTTTAGCACCCAAAGAGGAACCCTGAACCCACTAGGCAGCCACTCCCTATTGTCCTCTCTCCCAAGCCCTTGGCAACGACTAATTGACTTTCTGTTTCTATAGGTTTGCCCATTCTGAACAATAAACATAAACGGACTCACGGTATCTGACATTTTGCGACTGACTCTTTTCACTTAGCTCAATGTTTTCAAGATTCATCCACGTTGTAGTGCATGTCAGTGCTTTAATGGTTTCTACGATTGAATAATATTCCATTGTGCGGATCTACCTCATTTTGTTTATCCGCTGATGGACATTTGGGTTCTTCACATGCTTGGGCTATTATGCATAGTGCCGCTGGGGACATGTAAAGTTTCTGTGTGGATGTATGTTTTCAACTCCCTTAGGTACATAACTAAGCATGAATTAATGGTGACTATGTTTTAACTTTTTGAGGAACTGCTGAACTCTTTTCCGTAGCAATTACACTGTTTTATACTTCCGTCAGAATGCAGAAGGGTTCTAATTTCCTTACATCCTTACCAATATTTGGCATTTTACCTTTCTCTCTTTCTTTCTTTTCCTCTTTCTTTCTGTGTGTGTGTGTGTGTGTGTGTGTGTGTGTGTGTGTGTGTGTGTTTAGCAGCCATCCTATGGGGTATGAAGCGATATTTCATTGTGGTTTTGATTTGCATTTCCCTAAAGACTAATGATGTTGAGCATCTTTTCATTTGTTTATTGGTCTATATTTTTTAAGATGTTGGTCATTCCAGCAAAAATTACCCTGGGACTAAACAAATACACAAGAGTGCAGACTGAATCTAACAGGAGAAGGGACCCCAAATGCTCCAGGCCTCTGTCGTTTTGGCTCAGATGTCACAGCCCCTAGTCGGTTTCAAGGACTTGGGGCATGGGGTCAGCTCAGTGATTAGGAGCAGCCCTACACTGAAAAGACGAGCCTATAGCATCAGCTAGTCTATCCACTATTTTGCTTCTTTGGGATAAGTTTCCAGGATTAGGATCAGCAGGATAGAGAGAACAAACACAACTGTTCACATACACTTTTAAACCACCTGTAGGGTGGTTTTAGCATGACTTCTCAAGTATTGGGTGTCAGTATACTATTTTAAAAATTTTTTTGTAACTACATATAAGATTCTTTATATTTTTATTTTATGTTTGCATAATATGAATATAAAACTTCTATTTAGATGTGATGTTTTCCTTTTGGGGAGTTATCATTTGTATTTTGCTCATTTATTAATAATTTCTTATCAGTTCAGGTGAGTTCTTTCATAAAATAACTATACCGACTATTTTTGTCCTTGGTCTGGTCTCTTTATACTGGTTGGAATGTGGTTTGGATTTTTTCTTTCCTTTGCATTAGACGTTCTTGATTATCTGTACAGTGAACCTTTACTTTCTA